TATAAAACAATTGTAACGATATACATTTCTCAACCATAAATAACGAATCAGGTCTTACAAATGATGATGGTAAAAAAAAAGAGCAGGTAGGTAAAGGGTACGGTAGAGTAATGTAAGGTAAACAATTAGGAGCAGGAAGAAAAAGGGTTCGATGAAAGGAAGTCTTTTAGGACACAGCACGGATAAAATGTCACACAACAAAGGCAAACTTGACGCAGCACAGCAAAAAATTCGTGGAATGATGAAAATTGAAAGTTCGGTGATGCAAAACACTGTGTTCTTGGTGCGTTGGTTTTCGCAGAAGGTCTTCGGTACGGCGAGCAGTGATGATGGGGGAAGGGGGAGGACAGTGAACAAGGGGGCGGAGGGAGAAGTAAAAGTGTTGAGGTAGCAGCTGGAGCAGTAGTGATGACTGCTGCGCTCCGAGCTCGAACCAAGGAACGAGCCGGGGTGTAATGTAGCTCCTTTCTGTGGCTCTCCGTATCTCTCATATTTTAAGGATAATGTGGTGGTTCAGTGATTAGTGATATCATGTTACTAGATTAATCGATTTATTGTCTAAGTTCACTTTTGATCAAAGTTTCTATTCCCTATTCTTAACCTTAACCTCACTCACGTGGAGCCTATCCTACTCTTCCTAACTAATCCTTAATTCCTGTAATTCCCTATACTCTAATTATTTGGGTGTGACATCACCAGGGACTTACCCATGCTCTCCATCTTCAGTGTTGCACTTTGTTCTTGCACTTCGGGTAAACACTTCACTTTCTCACACACACTTCACACTCTCCGTCGCACACACCTCCCCGACCTCCCACCTGAGTCCTCCACGTGTGTCTGCCTCCGGTCAGTCCCCCCGATCGGCTCCCCTCCCTTCCGTTCGCCGCTGATCGGGTCCCTCTTTGGTTCGGGCCGCCTTCGGTCGCTCCCCCCTCCACTCCAGTCACAGTCATGGTGTAGGGCCGCGCTGCAGTCGGGCGTGGAGATACTCCCTGCTGCTCCGTGCAGCCGCCGCCCGACTGGGCGTGCTCCTAACAGGGGTGGTGTGGCCGGGAGTCGAACCAAGTTGGTGAGGTCGTGGCCGAGCCAGGCCAGGCCGGGCTGTGGCGTGCTGCGCTCGGAGCTCAGGCGCAGGCAGGGCTGGCAAGCCGCGGACCTTGGGCGAGGGCGACCCGAGCGTGTGGTGTGCCAGGTCGCACCGTGTGACAAAGAAATCTCCGCCATATTTGCGCTGAATCCATCAGGCTTCCGTCATCGAGTGGAGGGAGCTTGGACAGGGCAGGGAAACAATATACGGTTGGTCGATGAACAGATAACGCTCCAAGTCAGCCATATCGTGCCAGAATGGTGATGATTCGATAGCGATCGCGTCGATAACGAAGTCAGTGTCGTCCACGTCCGGCACGAGTCGCAGATGCAGGGGCGACGATGGGGCTTCCAGGAAGGCGCTGTCAAGAAGGTAAAACACTGCGTTTGGACTGGCAGGTGGCGCGGTGAGACATCGGGAACGAGCACTGGGTCATGGTGGCTGACCAGTGGCGAATATGGAGGAGACCACAGGAGAGTGGTGGCAGATGAGATGTTTGAAGGGTCACTTGGTTGTGGTGAAGGTACATTTAGAGGTTGACGTGGTGGATCCCAGAGTAGTGCCGAGGGGGTTGAAGATGGCACTACGGCCGGCTCGTCACTTGCTTGGCCGCGCGCACTTGGTGGACAGTCCACCGTATCGTGTCCCTCATCATGGCAGACACAGTTCTCGTGATGTCGGTGTGATGTGGT